CCAACGGCGGTGGGTACGGCGCGCCCCCGCCCGCCTTCGGTGCGCCGCCCCCCGCCGCCGCCGCCGCCCAGGCAGGCGGCGGGTACGGCGCGCTGCGGTCGGCCGCCGGCCCCCCTGGCGGGGGCTACGGCATGGGCGGCGGCGGCGGCGGCCCGATTCAGCGCGCGGACGACGCGCGCGTCGTGCCCATCTCGGCGCTGAACCCCTACCAGGGGCGCTGGACGATCAAGGCGCGCTGCACGCACAAGGGCGACGTGCGGACGTACAACAACCAGCGGGGCGGCGGCCGCATGTTCAGCTTTGACCTGCTGGATAAAGAGGGCGGAGAGGTGCGCTGCCCGGTTGCATTACAGGGTACACTGGTTGCGCATGCAGTAGGCAATGGAGCCAAATTGCCATGGACAACGTGACGCGCCCTGGCCCTTGCCGCATGCGGAGCTGTCGCTGGTTACCGGCCTAATGGCTTGCGATGCCAGACGCGCATGCAATGTGGGGGACACCCCGCCCGCGGCCTCTCCCGTGCAGGACGCGCCCCGAGCTCCGATGCGCACCTTCCAACTCGCAAACCCACGCACCTGCCCTGGCGCCCGGGCTCCTCCCAACCTGACACCTCCCCGCCTTCACTTGCCCTCCCCCACTCCCCCCTCCTGGCCAACCCTAAACCCTAAACCCAATCCTCATGCTCCCCACCCCTCCAAAACGCCGTCCGGGCTGCCTTGCCCCCACTGCCCTCCGTGCCGCCCCCCAAAGATCCGCGTGACGGCCTGGAACGACCAGGTCGACCTCTTCTTTGGCGTCGTGCAGGTGGGGAGCCCCCGCGGAGCAGTCACACGGGTCGCAGGCGGAGGGGGGGGCGCAGGGCGCGCGGCGAGGCCGGGGCGGGATGATGCCGCTTCGGCGACCTTTGAGCGCCGCCGCTGCCGCTGCCGCGTGCGCCCTACCTCCCCGGACCCTTTCTCTTTCTTATCATCATCACTGTCAGTCTGATGGCCTGCTCCTACCCTGTGCACCCCCCCCCAGCCTGGTGGCGTGTACCTGCTGTCCAAGGGCAGCCTCAAGCCCAAGAACGCGCGCTTCAACAGGTGGGGGCCCCGGGATGGTGGTTGATATCCGAGCGTCCAACACACACGAGGATTTCACAGCGTGCAGCATCCGAGGAGACGGCAACCGATAAGTGTGGTGTTCCTCCAGCGCATGCTCACCCGTTCCCTTGAGCTCACAGCTTCGACCTGCTACCCTGCCGCCTCGCCTCCCCTCACTCACATCCCCGACCTCCCTCCGATAACAGCACGTGCCAATCCCTTCATCCCACCACTCCACAACCCACCCTGCGCCCCCCCCCCAGCACGCGCCACGACTTCGAGATTTTCATGGAGCGCACCTCAACCCTGCAGGCGGTGGCGGAGAACGAGGCCGCGGACATCCCCCACATCCAGTACCACGTGAGACGATTCTGTTTGCTCACAGCCGCCCCGCCATGACCCGCCACACGCTTTGCCCAGACCTGCGCACGCTTCCAGCCTCTCAGTAGCCACAGGCTGCCCCGGTCCCTTGCCCAAACTTGCGCACGCTGTCTGCCCCCAAATTGGATCGAAGCCCCCATGCCGTTGCACCTAGCTGCCACTCGGCTGTCTGCAACCCATGACACCTCCTCTCCCAACTATCCACCCCCCCTCTCCGCCTCACCACCCAACACCACCCCCAGTTCACCAAGCTGGCTGAGATTGAGCGGATGGACGCTCAGACCGTCATCGACGTCATCGGGATTGTGCACCAGGTGGGTGGATGGGCGGCGAGGGGTGCACAAGCAGTCGCCTTCTGTGGATGCATCTGTGCATGCTTGCCAACTCGCGCGCGTGCGTGTGTGTGTGTGTGTGTGTGTGTGTGTGTGTGTGTGAAACACTTTCACATTTGGTATGCCAGCGCTTGCCCTCCTCCTGCTGCACGATGAGGCAAGGCTGCGCATGTGCGGCTGCCAGGCAGGGCCCTATGGGTCAAAGCTGCACCCCCGCGCTGGTCAGAGCTCACGGAGCCTCGCTCCCTTCAATCCCGCCAGGTCAGCGCCCCCGCGCGCATCACGCGGCGCGACGGCACCGACACCGACAAGCGCAGCGTGCAGCTCAAGGACGACAGCGGCGCCACCATCGAGGTGGGGGCGCGGAGGGGGAGGCGGGAGGCTTGCATGCACATGCATCGGCGTAGCTGACGCGTTTTCATCCGCGGCGCATGAGCACCTGTCAGAGGGAAAGTTTGGTGGGGGGTGGCGCACAAAGGTGAGGTGATGCACACAGCTGGACCCGCTCCGGCCCCGCGCTGTTGCCCTGCTTGACGGCACGGCACAGACGTCATGTCGTCCTCACTTAACTCGCAGCCTCACACACTCCCCCACGGACACACACGCTGCGAAATAAGCTGCAAACTCGGCTGCCCCTCCCCTGCGCGCCCCACCCCCAACCGCAGCTGACGCTGTGGGACAAGCACGTGGCGCACCCTGGGCAGGCGCTGGAGGACGCGGTGGGGGGCCAGGGCCGCTGCCCCGTGCTGGCCTGCAAGGGCGTCAGAGTCGGGGACTTCAACGGGAAGAACCTCTCGACAATCAACTCGTCAACGGTGGGGGCCGCGGGGTCCAGGGTTTATGGCGCGCCGCTGGCGAAACAGAGCCGGTCGGCTGGGGCGTGTGACGCGGCCCGGTGGTCTAAGCTTGCCTCTCGCACCCCGTTTTTCCGCATTTTTTCTGCGATGCCCCGGACCCCCGCCCGACGCCGCACGCCGGCAGTCCAGCCCCTTGCCCTCTACGCTCCCTAACCTTTCCGTGCGCACGCAATTACATAACCAGCGCTGACTCTGCATCTAACACTCGTCACACCCGTCACCCCGGTCACCCTAATCACCCCCCTTACCCTCCTCACCTCCCCCCCCCCAGCTGACCCTGGACCCCCCTGACCTCCAGGAGGGCCGCATCCTGCGCCACTGGTGAGCCCCCCAGGCGCAACACAATAACGGGTCGAGCCTTGGGTGCGCCCAGGGCCCCACTTGCGGCCTCACTGATTGTTGCAATTGGTGGAAAACAAAACCATTACCTGAGTGGATGAATTTGGTACGCAAGTGCGCACCGAAGCGCACGCCTCAACCCCAAGCCTGACGGGCTTGTCCCTACTCCCCTTCAAGGTACGACGTGGAGGGCGGCGCACAGGCGGTCGCCGCACCCCTGAGCGGCGGCGGCGGCGGCGGCGGCGGGCGCGGCCCCGACCGGCGTGTGAGCCTGCGGCTGATTGACGAGGAGCAGATG